ATAATAGTATAAAATTTTGGTCAAGTTATAAATAGGATCCTTAAAAAAAACGTATGCATTATCTAAGAATTTAATCATTTCTAAGAAATATGATAAATTATTTCCAAGGATTTTACTATTAATTTTTTTTACCCAAGTTAAAGATTTAAAGACGATAATCGATACCAGGATGTCTTGTTAATATTTGATTTAAACAAAATTAATCAATTAAATAAATACGAATTATATTGAACATGAAAATGCACTATTGACATTATCAAAATACAAATATAAATTAAACGACGAAGTAATTGCAAAGAATTTGATTAGTATAAAGAGAAACACAAGAATATAAACAAAGAGAAACAGATGAATACAAACAAAGGGAATAAAAAATAATATTTATAATATTTTTTTTAATTTTAAAGAAGGCTATATATTGGTGTTATGGGTGGTAAATGGTTGGATTTGGTTGGATTTGGATGGATTTAAAATGGTTTGAACAAAAATGGGTAATTATCTAATCTGCCCATATTCTATATGGGTAAATATGGTTTGAGTAATTAATGGACGGATTGGATATGAGTTTACCAATATTTCATCCACATTGATTGAAGAATTGAAAAATGAATTTATATGTTTTAAGTTTTTAAAGTAATTTTTTATTCTACTCACTCCACCCCTACCTCCAATTCATCCACCCCCTAATTTTATTTTATGTTTTCTAACCCCCGCGCCGCTTTCATCCCTCTCCACCCCCATACCCTCCCCCCTCACCCCGCCTTCATCCCCCCTACCACCACCTGCACCCATCCACCCCAACTTTTTTTAATGTTTTTTTTAAAACAAATCTACCCCAACCCCCCCCCAATTTTCAGTTTTCTATTTTATGGTTTTTCATAAGAAAAATTGAGTTTCTTTTTATGTTTTTAAAAAAATAAAAAAATTTACCCCCTCCCCTCGGGCACCGCCACCCCCTTCCACCAACCTACCTCGAATATCTTTTTGTTTTCCAGAAAAAATTATGTTTTTCAAAAAAAAAAAAAGAAATTACTCCCTCCCCCCCCCCTTCCACACACACACCTCTTCCACCAACCTACCCCTAAATTACTCACATCACCTATTGCTACCTTTCCACTATGAGTAACCACACCCAGCCCTCTATCATCATCTTCCATCATCATTTTTTGTTTCAATTGTGCTGAAAGTAAACTCAATTGACCTTCAAGTATCTTGACTGCATCTGCGTGAGGGTTCACTTTACTGTTCAATGATGAAAAGTCAGCTTTCATCCCCTTCAACAAATCATCTGAACCTTCAACTTAATCAAGGATGCGTGACAGCAAATCATTCACCCGAGGACTACTTGCACTCCCTTTCGATTTTGGGCTCTCACTCGAGTGAGTGTGGTCCTCTTCATGGCCATCCTCCCTTCTCCAATAATCACTATGTTCATCCCAATCTTGATAGTATCTCCTTTGATCCTCCCCATTATGATAGATTCAACCTTGATTTCCACCTCCTTGTAAATAGTGTGGGTGAAAACCCTCCTCATATCTCCTGGAATTCCAACCTTGGTTCTCCCCCAACTTTGAATAGCCTGAGGAAGAACCCTCTTAAACTTTAAACACTCTGATTGTCCCTTTGGTTTTTCCCACATTCTCCATCATATGCTCTTGTAATAGCTCCATTTGGGTCAACATTTTCTTGATGTTTGCATCCCTTTCTCTTTCCTTATCAAGTTGTTTTTGTGTCATTCTAAAACAAAACAGAGAGACTTGATCCTTTTGAGTGTACCAAGCTTGATTTATTTCCGTCATGTCATCAATAAGAAATGAAGCCACTTCAAACGATTGCAAACATTATTCCCACTCGTACCAATTAATCAGCAACTCCTTTATTAATTGAATCAATACTCCGGTAAAAATATTGGAGTACCAAATAGTTTGGTTGCCAGTGAGTTGGGCATTTAAGTAAGAGTTTCTTAAACCTCACCCACGTTTCATGGATGGGTTCACCCTCCCATTGCTTGAAACCTTGAATGTCGTCTCTATGTTTCATCATCCTTGATAGGGGGAAAGAATGTTGCATTGAATGCTATAATCAGCTCCTCCCATGATGTGATGGAATTGTTCGGTAACTCGAACAACCACTTGCTAGCCTCCCCATTTAAAGATAATGGAAATAATCGAAGCCGAATTGACTCTTGAGGCACATTGTTGAATGAAAACGGTCTACACACCTCTGTAAAATTACTTACATGCTTATGTGGGTCTTCGTGTTCTAGCCCTCCATAGAGTCCCCTCATTTGGAGGAGATGAAAAGTCGTGCTAGTGACCTCAAATATTGCATTCCCATCAGCTTGTGGTATGCAAATTGCACCCATTTCACCTGCATGAGATGAGTTGTAAACAATATTGATATCGTCGATACCGTCTCGATGACCTGCTTGACTACCATTCCCCTCTTCTTCACTTATTTTTAATTCTATGTAGCCCAACCAACACTACACAATGCAGCTTAAGCCAATTCAACTACAGCCACCAAATTCCCAAATCAAATCTTCGATCAAAGAATTCTAAGTAATGCTACTCCCCGACGCGGTGCCATTTTGATTAACGTTTCAAAGACACTTCATCCAGTTCTAAGTGTCAACGAATGCCAGTCAGTATATAACCCAACTGAATGAGTCGGGGTCGATCCCAAAGAGAGTAGCTTTTCCTTCGAATTCAATTATAGAAGTATGACAACAATCTCTTCAAATGAACATTTATTGTACCTTTCTGGTTTAGCTTCAAATTTCAGGTTATAATTATTAATCCAAGTCAACACTTAACACGAAACGATCAAATAGTGAAGTAACACTTGGGGAATTGACCAACCAATTATTGAATTTAACTTAGTTGATGAAAATTGATGCTTACAATAGGATAAATTGTTGTGGGTAGGTCGAACTATATGTAAAGCAATTTTCTCTCGAACAATTACCTTATCTTTGTCGAATTCTCTCAAACTTCAACACTAGACGGAAGATGTCCAGCCCTCAACCTTATCAAATCCATTTTCTCGAGCTAGATACAAAGGATGGATTCCATGTTTCACTTTCTCAAGTTGAAATCATGGTGACCCACTACTAAGGATGCTAAATTTGCTGCTTTGGCTTTGTACTTCTCTCTCGAGCAAGCACCAAAAAATGAACTTGTTACACTAATCATGCAAGACAACCTCAAAACGCAGTAGCAATTCAGACCCACTTCAAATTAACAGCATTATTCACAAATCAATGACACCCACTTAGTAAAACTCAAAAACTGGTCACATAGTCAAAACCACAAGGAGAGGGTTTTAGCCAATCATAGCAAACAGAGGAAAATCAACATCTGCCATGTTTTTCATAGCTAGGTAAAAACGAAAATTAAAAGTTAAATTTAACTAAAAATATCCTCTATTACAAAACCTCAAAGAAAGTTTTTGCTAAAATCACTAGGAAATCACCCCTAGTAGTGTTCTTTCTCTCTTCTATCCTTTGTTCCTCCAGTTTCTGAATACTCTCTCTCTAGAAAAAATCAATTTATGCAAGTCTGATGTGTGACTGTTTAGGACCAATCGGCGAGGAAAGTTGGGCTTCGCCGACATTTCGGTGATTCACCGATTTTCCTTCCTCTCGCCTTCATTTTCCCACTTCTTCTTAGTCCAACAACTGTAATTTTAGGCAATCCAGATCGTGATAGCCGAGTGGTTCCGCGAGTCTCTCTTTCTCCTTTCATCTCGCCCATCAGCACTTGTCTGGATCTCCATCAGTACTTTTGGCGACCTGGTCATCCAACGTCGAAGCAATTGGCGACATGCCGAATGGAATTACTGCTCGCCGAAGTTACCCCTAATTTAGCCTCATCATTCTGTAACTTTAGGCGGTATAGTGAAAACTTGGCGAGTCGCCGAGTGACATCGGCGATCATCAAGCATGTTTTTCCCTTCTCTTTTTCGCTTCTGTTGTCTCTATTTCCCATTTATGTCCTAGCTTTGTTCCTTAATCCATGTACCTGGAAATCAAGGATTTTGCATTAGTTATTTGCACAAATTAAACATTTGAGGACACTAAATAATTGTAAATAAATTCCTAAATGAGTCCAAACCTCGGACTCATCACACCCCAATCTCATCCCCACCCCCACAACTTCCACCAACCTCCCCCTAAATTTTTTTGTTTTCCAAAAAAAAAAAATTATCCCCTCCCTCCCCCCCCCCCCACACCCCCACCTTCCACCAACCTACCCCTAATTTTTTTTTGTTTTCCAAAAAACAAATTATGTTTTAAAAAGAAAAAAAATTACCCCCTCCCCCGGGCACCCCACCACCCCACCCCACCTTCCACCAACCTACCCCCAATTTTTTTATGTTTTCCATAAAAAAATATATGTTTTTCAAAAAAACAAGAAAATTTACCCCCCCCCCCACCACCACCCCTACCCCACTTCTTCCTCCACACCCATCTATGCCCAAAGTTTTTTATGTTTCTCTAAAAAGAAAAATCTATGTCTTTTTCAAAAATTAAAAAAAAAAGTTCTTGCCCACCCCCCCCACCCCCAAGCTCAGCCCCGCCCACACTACAATTTTTTTTAAAAATAAATTAATGTTTTTGAAAATTAAAAGTTAATATTAATTTTTTTGTTTTTTAGCATAATTAAGAATTTTGTGTAGACGTGAAAACTAAGTGATCTATTATGGGTCAATATGGATATCCATATTTTACAAATTTTTATCATATTTGTAGAGACTCTTAAAATAGTTTGAAGCCCATATTTACCCAATTAAAATATGACTCATCCAAGTCATTAAATATGGATAAAATGGACTATTTCATTAGTATGGACTGAAATTGTCACCCTGGAGTTAATTATAAATGAATGGATTGGGGATGGTGAGCTTGGGGTGTTCATGGGGATGGTTGAAGCCTTGGATGACGTAGGGATGGGATTTTTTTATGTAATAAATGAATTTCAAACAATTATACTTGCCACTCATTGAAATCTTAGCTCAATAAAGGAAAATGAAAAAAAGTATTACAACAATTCATAAATAATTAAAAATAAGAAACATTAATAATTGAGATGAACTTATAAATCCAAGTCACAAGGGGATGTCTGTGAACCCTTGGTTGAAGAAGCAGGCACCCTAGGGCTACAGGATAGCTTCAGCTTCCTATGACTTGATTTCCAAATTCCAACCTTGAACCTTATCTTAGCTCTCACTTTAATCTCCACTTCCACAGCTCCTGATGTCCTCTCCTCCTTCAAATCACGAGCAATGTCTCCGTACAATGCAACGTCCTTGGCTGAAAGGAAAAGGTCCAAATAAGTCACGTTACGATGAGGCTGAAAGAATGTTTCCGCATTGTTGAATGCAATCTGTAAAGAATTGTAAAACAGCTTCACTTCAATGCTGTCATAATATATGGATACCCTGCTATTTGGATTGTAAGCCTTTAACGTGAAGTTGAAATTTCCATACAAATGCTCATTTTTTGTCATGTTGTAATTGTGGAGTGATGCATTTTCAATTGAGTAAATTGGTCGTCGTGGCTTCACCGACAGCCAAATCACAAGTATTGTTAGCCCTACAATCACAATAATGGTTAACGCTATAAGGGCTATGCACCTTACAGGGCTTAAACGCCTCGTCTTTGTGGGAGTTGCCATTATGAACAAGTTGTTAATGAAAACGACCAATATTCACAACAACTAATTATATTATATAGAGAAGAAGGTATGTCGTGATAAGCTACTTTTTTCTAGCTTTAAAATTATTGTTCCATTACGTAGTAAAAGAAGTTAAAGGTTAGGATGATAGAGATGTCTTGTTCTTTTCAAAGAAGCTTTAGGTTTCTTCAATGCAACTCAAGAGATCTCAGAGTTGTCATATTATCCAATGAATATATATGCCTCTTCTTTTACTTTTTTCTGGAATAACTTTATTATGCTATTCAAATATGGATAATTGTGTTTACATGGAAAAGGGATATCTAATAATCTTCTTTTAACATTTTAGGTTAAGTTAGATTCAAAATCTATATTTTTTTCTCTCTTAAACTTCTATATATAATACATCTTTAGTTTCAAGAGGAACTTTCACAAATTGCCACTAAAATAATTTTAATTAGGCTTTATAGCTATTTACGATTCGTAGGTACATATTAGAAGGAAGAGAGAGCTAAGTGAGAGAGGGCAGAGAGTGGAGAGAGACGAATTGTATATATATCTATCGAATTGTTTATGTATATATGTCACATAATTGTATATATGTAACTAGTATACATATATATTTGTATATCTTGCAAGGGAGATTGGGAGAGGGAGGAAAGAGGCGAGCGAGATTGGGAGAGGGAGGAGAAAGGCAAGCAAGAGAGGGCAGGAAGTGGAGAGAGGCGAATTGTATTTGTATAATTTTGTAGTTGTATATGTATAAAAAAAGAGAGAGGCGAGAGACAGGAAGAGAGGAGAGAGGAGAGAGGCGCACGTAATTACAGCTAAAATGAAGTTGCGAGCAGTAATTAATTCAAATTATAGTTATGTTTAAATTAACTAGTATATTTTGGCTTATCCGCATAATTTTTCCATAATTAATTCTATTTATTATTTTGTTAATCCCACTTTTCACAAACAATATTTCTCGGTACTCTATAAATCTTATTTTATTTAACACACACTTCTTTTAATATTAATATATGTCCTAGAGAAAATGACATCTTATTTTTTTTGTATAAGCAATTTAAAGTGAATTTTCATTTCACCCGTTATCACATTAATTTTAACAAGAATAATTTTTATGACAATAAGTTTGGAAAATCTTTCTTTCTAAAAATTTGTATCCAATGAAATATGTTTATATAAATTTAAACGAAGAAATGTCTTTTAAGTGATCTGAATTATAAAGATTAAGCGTCTGAACTTGAAGCATATATTCCGTTGCCTTGTAAGCTCATAGACAGATTTGGGAAAGTGAACATTGTTTGATCGTAAAGAATAAAATAGACAGTACTCATTGCATGAATATTCTTATCTTGCATTAGGAGAAACATATCGGACATGATTGGCTTAACTATAGTAATATGATGTGTTAATAAAGAATTATGGAATGCTATATATATATATATATATATATATATATATATATATATATATATAAATATCGTGAATATTCTTGCTTATTTTACAAGTTATTCGAAAACCATCTCTAAAGTTTTCTACCACTAGTGAGGTCTATGCATTGTAGCATTTTAGTTTCTATATATAATATTCAGCAATTTGATTACTAATTTACAATCTCACATATATTACAATTAATATATGTAAAAATTAATTATTATTTTATGTAGGATAGAAAATTTGATGACTAGCTAATATATAAATAACTAAATCATGTATTAGTAATTAACATAGAGCGTAGATACATAGTGTAGAAAATGTGATAACAAATACATGAATAACTAAAATTTATATAAATAATCTCCATATTACTAATATTTGCACAAGTCTAGCTAGTAACCAAATGACCCTTACGGCCTAAAGTTTCGAAAAAAATAATCATTTTTGGCTTCCCAAAAACTTGGCCAAACAAATTATGTCTTGACAATTTCCATCAATGTGATTTGATTTTAGGGGTATCCATGGCCGTCTTAACCACTAGGCCACTAAAGTCATTGCTTGGGGCCCATATTTTTTGAGGCCCCCAATTTTTAAAAAATACTTATACATATTACTTAAATTTATATGTATTTTTAAATTTTAAAAAAAACATGTAAGAAGTATAAAAAAGAACAAAATAATTGTTAGTTTTCCTCACTTTTCTAAGGGAATGAAACATTTTTGAAAATAATTTTCTTTGTGGGAAATTGTGTTTCCTTATTTATCTCCTAAAAAATTGACCTTATATTATTATTTACCTTATACTCATCTTTTTTATTCTCTATTTTATTATTTTTATTCTCAATATTGAACTCTCTCCTAAAAAAATGATTTATTGTTGCTTGCAAGTTAAAAAAGAACATAATTTGCTTTTGAGTGTCTTCTTCAAAATATTAAGAAGTGCAACAAACAATCATTATATTGAAGGAACGCAATACTATTTCAATATTGTTATATCAACTTATCAAATTCGTGAGCCATAATTATTATTCTAACTTTATTTTATATTTTTTCTTGAACTTTTGTTATTGTTGATATTCTTAGTTAGTAAGTATATATATTCTCGTTCTAGTTATTATTAAGAGAAATAATACAAGTAGAAGATAATGATTTAATGGAAATACTCAATCAAATAAAAAGACTTGATACTTTTCCTAATGCATATATTGTTTATTGAATAATGTTAACAATTCCTGTAACTATTGTCTCGACCGAAAAAAGTTTTTCGAAACTAAACTTGATAAAATCTTATCTAAGATCAACAACGTGAGATTGAATGCATTAGCAATATTATCAATTGAAAAAGAATTACTAAAACAAATCGATTAGAAAACAGTATTTAATGACTTCACATCTAAAAAGGCTATAAAATTAGATTTTATATAAATATATACATGATTATTATTTTTATTTTTTTAAAAAAATTAAAAATATTAAGCACTTTAAGGTTTGACTTTAGGCCTTCAATCTTGTAGAGTCGGCTCTGGGGTATCTGATACCTTTTAACATCTTGGCTCATCATGTTTTACAACTAGAAAGTGGTGATTGTGATTTCTGGAGCCGAGGTCGGGGCAACCACTTTATTTTATTTTTCTTCCCTATACTGTTGTGATAATTTTTAATCATCTTTTATCTTATATAATATTCTCTAGTATTACTATAAGTTACTTGTAAATGTTTAGAATTTTAAAACTGAAAAATCCACCTTAACTTCATGAATCTAATTTCCCCTGCCATATAAAATTAAAGTGAGGCCTTTACGGTTCGCTCATGATATCCCAAGTTACAGTGTCTTGGTATCAAATTCTGCCTCCACATATCAATAAGAAATAATAAAGTACCTATACGAAAACCACCTTAGCAAACTTGACAAGTCCTAGAGCCAAAAACAGTTGATCAGGAACATCTAACTATACAGGATATGCTCTAAATCTAGACAATATTTAAGGCCTGAGGACGTAATCACATCAATTGGACTTCTTACTTCATTGGAGAAAGGTAAAACACACCAATATGTAGAGCATGTCACAGATGACAGAGAATGCTATTCAGTTGCTTGTCCTACGACTGGAACATTCTTTGAGACCTTATGCATTGGCGTTAAAGAGAACATGCTGACAGTTGAACTTCCACTTCTCATTTCCTGCAAGACTTTCAGTGCTGATTTTGTAACCTTCAAGTACATACTTCCCATGTTATCCATCTCCACTAATTCTTCTGCATCTTTGACTCCGCTACTTCTTTCCCCTCCTGGTGTTTTATTACAAGGGTTTTGAATCTCTGAAAGATCTTCAGCTACACTGGTTACTCTTACACTACTTCCTTCCCCTCCTGGTACTGCTTTAGATGGATTTTTCGTCTTTGCAAGTTCCCCAACTCTGCTACTACTTCCTCCAGTAACTCCTTCACTTCTACCTCCTCCACTACTTCCTTCTCCTTCTGGTGCTTTCGATGGCTCATTTTGGGACAGAAGGCTACTAAGCATGGTCATACACTCCTTCACTAGCTTATTCAGAACATCAGTTTTGAAAAATGGTTCCTCTAGCACCTTTTGGATGACAGCCAAGTGAATAAGAGCATCAGTACGTTTATCATATTTCTTTAGTATCTTAATCCTGCAGAAAGTATTATTTCCAAAGCAGAAAAAATATGTGAAAATTATAAAAGAACTGAAAATAATATCCAAATCATGTCAGTGGTGCAATTATGGATGTTGCTGAAGAGAATCATCCTGTATTTTTAGGCGAACGAGTATATATGCAATAGCAGAAAGCTTAAACGTAGCAGTCTGGCAGAAGTCTAATGTTTTAAGGCGCCAACAGAAATTCTGAACAAAATGAGTCACAAAGATCTCATCTATGCCTATTCACAATCAGCTAATTACAGAAAAAGCTTAAAAATGAACAAATGTACCAATCAGTTTCCATACATTACTAAAGAATTGGATTACAAGGGCTACGCCAAAACACAGTTAGATACCCCTTGGCTCAAGAACTACAAATCTTCAAGTTCCTAAATAGAATTCATTCAAAAGGTCCTCTAACAATCTATAGTTCATCATCCAATTGGAACCTGGCAATGAGTTGCTATTTTCAAGATTTTGTTACGAAAAGAGTCGCAAATGATTCAATTCCTGAAAAATAGAGCATCGTTCATTTTCATTATTTTCTTCATTTGGTTTTTGCATGAAGAAGTATTTCCTTTTCCAATTGCTATTCGATAAACTATTGGAGACATTTCCGTTACGGAAAATGATGTAATTCCCACTACCAAGTACCTAACAGACTACTGACTCTCACATTGTTTTGCAGACAGTTGTTCCTTAATAATTTTCTTTTTTTCTAATGCACTCAAGGGTGTGGCCTTGTGAAGTGGGTTGAGAACCATGAGTTATCAGGTTTGAATTTTAGCAGAGACAAAAACACGTGATTTCTTCCCATCTGTCCTAGGTGGACAGAGATACCTGCTGCTGGTGGGAGGTGGAAGGTATTCCATGGAATTAGTCAAGGTGCGTG